CAGTCACACCTAGTATGACTTTGACCAAACTATGGCAGACATTCCACAAGATAACTGTTTTGTTTTTTCCTTTGGCTCTCTGCTGTCAAAATTTGCACAGAAATTCTGGAAAGTCAAAGATGTTCTTAGCTAGTTTCTTAATTACTGCTACTTCCCAGTGCCTAAAACAGAGCCTTCCTAGTGGTAGTTGTTAAAAATATTTGTGTTAGATAATAACATTCTGACTCCCAAAAAGTAGTATCCATAGGGCTTAGTGATTGATTGGACATATAGATTAAGGAGAAGGCGAAAACTGAGACAAGTCTTAGAAGATTTGTCTCAGGTGACAGTAGAAAGCTGGAGCAATCATTTCCAGAAATCTGGGTGTGAACCCTATCTTCTACTCAATTGCCAGGTTTTGTGTTGGCAACACTGCACTGACAAACAGGAGTTGTGGAATGGGCTGCACAAGTAGGATGCTGCTCAGTGAGCAAGAGCCTGGCCGTTTTATTGATGGAGTAATCATACAGCATCAGTTACATGTGATAGAAGGACAAAGAGAAAAAGGATGGCTGAAACTGAAAATGTTCTTATGTCATCTAGGACTTCAGGGGTGTGAGTCTGCTCCCCAGGTATTTCTTATCTGCTTGAGGACCAGGTGTTGTCATCAGAACCATCCCCCAGACCCCTGGCCATGGTTCCAATTTCATCCACTGATCAGTCTCTGGGGTGCACAGTCACACTTTAGTCAACGCTCCCCCCAAACCCCCCAGGGTGTTCCTGGTCATACCTCATGATGTATAGCCATTATCACAGGGTGATCAAGCGTCTTGCTCTTTCTTAATTTGAAAGGAGCCTTGTAAGGTCTGGTATATTACATTCTTTTAAGTCATATAACTGACCGGGCTGTTCTTGACCTTGTATTGGAGGGCAGACTGCACTTAACCAAAATGGTGGCTGAGCAGGCCATTTAAGCCTAACAGACCCACACCCACTGACCAGGAAGAACCCTGGTAAGGCCTCACATTACCTCTGTTCCACACTTTTGAAACTGGAGAAAGTGCATATGACTATGTCACAGAGAGCTGACAATAACACAAAGAAACATGGCAGACAGGCTTTCCAGATGCTGGGAAAGAAACCGAAGGAACAGTGCACTGAGACAGAGAAGAGCCCACCACTGTGATGGTTAGTTTGATGTGTCCCGTTGGCTAGGCTATAGCTCCCAACTAGTCAGTTAAACATGAATCTAGATGTTGTTATATGTGGAGGTATTTTGCATATGTGGTTAACATCTACAGTTACACATGACTGTAAGTCAGGAAGGTGGTGCTCAGTTAAGTGGGTGGGCCTTAGCCAATCAGTTGAAAGGTTTTAAGAGCAAAATGGAGGGTTTGTTGAAGAAATTGTCTCAAGATTGCAGCATCAATTTCTGCCTGGGAATTTCTAGACTGTAGGTTGCCCTAAAGATAGTCTCCACAATCATGTAAACCCACCCCAACTCCTCTATGTGTGTGTGTATACACACATATATATATATATACATACATATATATGCCTATATAAGTGAATATGTGTATATATATATTTTTATATGCACATGTATGTATATTCTCCTACTATTTCTGATTTTTCCTTCCTGGACTTAATTTCTGTGTCTCTGACTGATACAGTCATTGAAGAAAACACTGGAAGCTGGAAACTACAGAGTCTCAGAGGACTTGGTAGAAAATCCATAAACAAAGAGAATACACACCTCAGCTCATGTCAGGCTGTAAACACGGCAGAGAAATTTGAAGCTGCCAAGAGGAGCCTTCAAAGCCTGCAACATAGAGGGAGGTCTGCGAGGCTGTGGAAACAATTAAGTTCCGCTGAACTGATATGGTCATTTGAGTCTGAAGAACAAAGCAGGTACTTCCATTAATCACAAAACTGATTAATAGCAATGTACACACAAGGTCCTTAGCAACAGAGCCACTGGAGGGGACGTGGGGCCCTGGCAGGAGCTGCACCATCCCCACTATTAGGGGCTTCTTATAGGTCCCCTTAGACGGGGTGATCATTCTGTGTAAGACCACTGATGTCAGATGTCGTGGGGGATATGTCATGTGTATTTTGTTCTACTAAGATTAATAGGATTGTGTGTGGTTCACAGGTACATGATTCACCCTACAAAGCCCTCTACTTTCCGACACGGTGACTAATACGAAGAAAACAATGAGGAAATTGGCTGTCTTCCCAGAGTAGGGCAAATATTGGTGTCTGCCCATCTGGTGCCCAGATAAGATAGGATCACTTTTTATTTTGCTACAGAGGTCTTTGTAGATAAATATTGAAGAGAGAAAATGTGGACAGGGCCTCCAGCCAACTGCCCTGAAGCCCATTTTAGAGCTGCATGATGGAAGTTGTGACTTCCAGAGATGTCCTAGGATCTGGCCTCCCCATGCTGGGTATGTGATGAGGATAAAATAGAACCAAGAGAGTCCCCAGTTTGCTTTATTTCTGAAAATTTCTGAGTCTGTTTCCAAACTCCTCTTTAGAAATCTCCTTTTGCTTTTAATGGGGAGAGGGAGGTCTGTGAACTTGGATGGGATAATTTGTTACTGAAACTCTGCATTTCCTTCCATTATGAATGTCAGCAACAAAACAATCTTATTTCAGTAATTTTGACTTTATCAATACTGAAAATCAAATAGTTTCATCTCAAATTGCAGTCATTGCAATTTTCCTAACGTATCAATTATGCTTATTATGTTTATGCCTTGAAATTATAGTATTTATTAGCCCTCTTGTTGGATATTGTCATTTAGTGCATTAATAAAGGAGCATAAATATTATGTCATACATTTTGATAACATATTTCCATATAATTGACTTCTTTTGAAATCTTATATACTTTTCCTTTTATATTTTAAACAAATGATTTTGTGATGGAGCCCATAATCACCAAAGTTCCTTAGAGATACATAGTATAAAACTGGGAGGAATTCGAAACTAGATTTACCTTAATGTTTATGTAGAAACAGCAGGAAAATGTGTATTTTTCTTAAGGGCTGTTGTAACCTTGTGAACTGAAAACAAATATTCTCTAATCTCTGTGTGTATATTCTCAATGTCAGCCAGTTTTACTCTATCTCTTTCTTAGCCTTCAATTTAAAATGCTCACCAGACATGGTGATAATGATTCTTTAGAACACAGACGCTAAAACACACCATTAGGAAGCACTTGCTTCCTGCGAAAGCAAACAGGTAAGCACTCATATTTGTCAGCGCTGAAGATGTTCCTTTTAAAGGTGTAAAATTCTGTAAGTCCTCGGTAGGAGCAGCATGCAATGAGGGTGCTTAGCACGGAGTCTTGCTTAGAATACTTGAAATAAAGAAAGAATTAAAGACTCAAGGGGAGATAAGAAAAATTATGCCACCCTACAATGCCTTTCACTTTCCTGCACAGTGACTACTTGCTACGATCCTTGCAGGGGCCAATAAGGCACGAGGTCATCTCCCCAGGCCTACCCCTGGCCATTCAAGTACTGGCCTCTATATTTCTGGGGCTTCCCACGCCCACTCCTATCTCCAGGCGGTTACCCTGGAGATCGACCCTCATGACTCTTTCCCTGAGACACACATTTTTCTCTCCATCACCTTCCTTGCCAGGCTTTCCTGTTCTCTTTCCCAGGTTTGTGTGTATGTTTGTCCCCTCCAAGTGCTTATCACCATTATTTTATTTCTTTAGTGCTTATTATTGCCTCCTTCATAGCCATGTAATCTCCTTGCGAACAAAGATCACCTCTGTTTTCTTTACGGTAGTATTTGCAGCTCCTGTGACGGTAACGTTGGGCCAATGAATAAATTCATGGATGCAGAGTTGATCTGCGGGCAGGGAGGGTGCCCAGTTGCCTCCCACTGCCATTTTTCAGCGGGCAGAGGCAGCCCGAGAAAAGAGTAGACACCTAATGGCTGCTAGGGTGTCTACACTCGCTGAGCCTGGGCTACCCAGGAAATCGTGGCTTTGGGGTTCAAGCCCACACAGCAGAGGGGCCCCAGCCGCAGCCTGTTTTCTGATGAAGGCACGACTGCCGCCTAACCTCCCACGTGCGGGGCCAGTGGCGCAATGGATAACGCGTCTGACTACGGATCAGAAGATTCCAGGTTCGACTCCTGGCTGGCTCGGTGTGCGCGCTCGTCTTTTGCTTCTTTTCTGACAACTACCATGAATCTCAGTGGAATTAGAAAATTCGTTCAGGATACCTAGCAGTCTTAGGAGCAAGGGGGCGCCCCTTTGACCACAGCGAGGGTCTTGCGGTCCAGGTCCCGCCCAGCCTCGCCACTTCATGCCTACAGAGGATGGGTTTGAAGCAAAGGGGAAGAAATTCAGAAACTTGGTTATTCGGACTGAGCGATAATAATGTGGGATTCGTAAGGATTAAAGCCTTTCGGTCTCCATTCAGTCATTTCCAGAGTAAAGGATTAATGATCTGGCGTCAGGCCTGCGCCCAAGCGCGGCTCGGGTACAGCCATGGAGAGAACGGCACAGAGACGCATGCGCACTGCATGCAGCGCTGCAGGGACGTCGCTGAACCGGGGCGTGGTTATTAGCGCGAACTAGCAGTTCAGAGGCGCTTCTCGCATGGCGTTTCCGTAGTGTAGTGGTTATCACGTTCGCCTCACACGCGAAAGGTCCCCGGTTCGAAACCGGGCGGAAACATATATATTTTTCTTTCCTGCATTTTAATTCCTTGACCAAAAATACATATATTTTTTAATTTCCACACTTCCATAAAAACATCCCTCTCCTTTTCTTCTCGTGCTCGTCCCGGGCCGGGCGGCTGGGGTGGCGCTGCTCAGGGTGGGTCTGGGGCGGCCTCGGAGGAGGACCCACGTATCGCGAGGGGAGAGCTGGCCCGGCCCCGGCTCCGACGCGAGGCGGCCGGGCGCCCGCAGCCCCGGAAGCGCATCCTCGCCTCGCCGGGCCTTCCTGTTGCTCGCAGCGCCGGGCGCCGGGCTCCTCGCCACCCCGCGGTCCGCGCTGGCCCGGCGGGAGGGAGCGCAGGGCAGCCGCGCGGGAGGGAGGACGGCGGCGACGCTCGGGTGAGTGCGGCCGAGGCCTCAGTGTGCGTCTCTGGAAAATGGGGCGAGCCCCGCCGCCCCGCAGAGACGCGCGGCCCGGGGAGTGGCGCGGCGGTCAGCGGGGAGCCTGGGCCCGTCGCCCCCGCCGTCCCGCCCCCGGGATAACCGCGCGCGCGGCTTCCCGGGGACCCGATTGCGAAGCTCCGGGAAGGACGACCTCGCGAGGTGGGGCGCGGGCCGCCGGCCCTGCTGGGCTGAGAAGCCCCCGCCGCGGCGCCGGGGCAGAGGAAAGGCCGGAGGGGAGAGGGTTGAAAGGGATTAAACCCTCAGGGTTGTGGCCCGAAGAGGTCGCGGGGGCGGGCCGGGCGTTCTGGCCGGGGCTACCCCGCTTTCCACCCTGTCCCCCTCCCTCCTCTGTTTACAAGGAGTCACCTTCGGGAAGGCCCCACAGAAGGGACCCCGAAAGTCTGCGTCTTCCTCCACTTTGACCTTGTGCTCTCCCCGCCAAAAAGAAAAGGGGAAAAAAATCCCAAAGTTAAGAGGTGGACCGGCTGGTGGCCTTGAAGCTTGAGAAGCCACCACAGCACCAAGTTTAAATAAACTCAGGACTTGTGCCCTGGGCTTCGGCCATCCCACACGAGGCCTGCGAGGTTTCAATCCAAGGCTTTTGTGGGAGGGAAAAGTCCTGTTATTCCACCTCACAGCCTCAGGTGTCTGATTCTCTTCTTAGATATATTATGATTGCGCTTGCTCTTATTATTGCCACTGTTACTATTTCTAAGGGTTGCCAAGCCTTAGCCTCCGGGGCACTTTGCTCCAGATGAACTTAAATGATGGATGCTAATATTGAGTTTGAATGGAAAATAATCCTTACCTAATGAGCTGTTTTCTCTATCTTGTTTTTAAAAGTCTTCTCTGAAAGGCCTATGGTTTCCTTGTTAGCAGAATAATAGCTTGGGCATGTGCTCAGGAGCAATTTGTCTACGACGTTTTCTTTTAAAATCTGACGACCAGAGGGGAGAGCAAAGGATAGAAGGGGTCCACTGGACTGTAGTGGACAGTTACTAGAGTGTTAGTACCTTGGTGGTAGGCCTGTTGTGGCAGCGTACATTGGAAGAAGCGTGAATCTGCACGCCTAAAACAGTGTTATAAGCCAAAGTTACCTCAATTATAAAAAAGGAAAAAGAAAGATCCCTGTTTTCTAATAATTAATAAAATCACGTCTCCACCACTCAAATACCAGCAAGTGAATGGGGTGTGATCTCCTGGAGGGAGGCAAGGACCCCAGGGGCCTGGGAGAACTTTTGAGGATTGTCCTTTATATTTTCTGGGATGCCAGTGGGCCGGAAGTAAAATCAGCTGGGCCAGAGCATCCCCCCAGCCAAAGGGTTTCAGATCGCTGACTCTCTTCAAACCAAGAGCTTGCTGACAAGATGCAGCCACAGCCCTACCCTTCTAGACACTCTGCCCTTTCTCACTTTCCCTTAATGTTCCTTCCTCCAGCTCCCTCTCTTCACCCCAAATGGAAGCTCTGCTTCCCTGAGTGATATTTCCTTTGGACGGTAGAGAAGAATAGTCCCTGGAGACAGACACTGTGACCTTTTGTTTTGTTTTTTTATTATATTCTTTATTCTCCTTCCTAAGCTTGGTTGTTAGTAACCAAGGACTCCCGTTCTAACCCTGCAAGCATTATTTTGCCATAAGTAAGAGGCTGTTAGAGGGAGACCTTCTGACTTTGGGGTGTGTTAGAACCATCACCCCAGAAAACCAGTTTAGTAACAGTCAAGGGAGCAAAGGATGATGCTGAAGCGTGCGTGGCAGGTGTTGGTGGCATGTGTGGATGTGCATACTAGATGAGGTGGGGTTTGGTCCATGGGCACTGCAGACTTCCGGTGAGAGAGGGAAAATGGAAAAAAGACATTGAAAACTGGGCAAAACATGATTCTAATCCAAATGTGTCACAGGTCACTCAGGGTCTCTTCCCTCCTGTGTTGGTTTGCTAGGGCTTCCATAACAAACCACCACAGACTGCAAGTCTTAAGCAACAGAGGTTTATTTTGTCACAATTCTGGAGACTGCAGGTCCAAGATGTGGTATCCTCAGAGGCCTCTCTCCACGTCTTGCAGGCTCATGAGGGCCTTCCTCTGTTGTCAGAGTCCTGATCTCTTCTTTTGAGGAAAGTATTTATTGGACTAGGCCCCATCCATGTGACCTCAGCTCACCTTAATTACCTCTTTAAAGACCCCATCTTCAGCATTCACAAGTTCAAGGTACTGGGGATTAGGACTTCAATCTGTGAATGTGGTTGGAAAGGGACAAAATTCAGCCCATAACACTTATTTTTAAGGACAGTGATGGATGTATTAATGTCCATTATTGTTGACAGTTTCGGAAAATCCCTGAAGTGAACCTCAGAAAATTTTCACACACTAGCCTTTTCTCATCATATTCATCATTTGCATATTTCTACAGAGAGAATGCATTACTTGCTTTTAATTTCATTATTAACCTTTTTAAAAAAAAATCTATTTCTGCCAGTTAATTTAAACTTCATATATCTTTTTTTTTTTTTAAAGATTTATTTATTTATACATACAAGATCTGGGGTACAGGCCAGAGGTGTGGGGGGTAAGAGAATTCACCAGAGACAGAGAACAAAACAGGTAGATTGACGGAAATACATTGCTGAGGGGAGCAGCGGGCCAGTCAGGAGAGGTCTGCTGTGCCGTGTGGGTAGCTCCCTGGCCGGGATTGAACTCTGCTGCAGTGGTGGATAGCTTCATCAGCTACATCTTAACCCCTGCACCACCAGAGAGGTCCCCATATATCTTTTTCTAATGAAAAACAAAACAAACAAAAAACAACCCACAAGTCTTCCTTGTTAACAAGGGGTTTTTAAGGAGAGGAGAGAGCAGATGGCCCCTCTACCCTGGAGCTGCTGAGGAAGGGTTACCTTTTCCCCTTTTGAAGTAAGCAGTCTGGTTAAATTGGGCGCTTTTATAAGAATTTCAGTCAAGGTTTTTTCGAAGAAAAAAAACCTTTTTTGAAGAAGAGTGATCCAGAGGCTCCACTAACTTGTTCTGGTCTCAATTAATATAATTTGTCCTTAGAAGTTTTACTTTAACAAGGAGGAATTGTTAGATTCCTAAAACGTCAAAGATTGCCATGTCCTGGGAAAATAACCTCAGTATTTGTTTTGATGATTTCTTGTCCTGGTGATATCATCTAAAGTCTTAATCTCTGTATTCCCAAAACTTAGAGAATTACTTAAAAGATTTATCTACCAGTTAATAATTTTTCTTTGTTTTTACTTGCACAATGCGATATTTATAATACTAGACTTGTATATTTTATTATCTAAATATTACTTCTTTAATTCTCAAAATGTTGGGGTTTTGTGGGGTTTTTTTTTTTTTTACCTTAGTAGACTATTTTTTTAGAGCAGTTTTGGCTTATAGAAAAATTGAGCAGAAGCATAGAGAATTCCCATATTCTTCCTTTCCCCTGCCTCAGTTTCTCCTAACAGTTTTCATGTGTTACAATGGATGAACCAGTATTTATACATTATTATTAATTAAGGACCACTCTTTGTATGCAGTTCTGTAGGTTTTACCAATGCAAATGCCATATACCCAGCATCACTGTAGCATACAGAATAGTGTCATCACCCTAAAAACTCCCCTGTACTCCATCTCAAACAATTAATTGCTAAGTCAACCCACTATGAGGTGAGAATTCCCCTCCTCCACCCTTCTTAGCCTCATGGAAGTGAAATGACCTTTTATCCTGCTGGCTCTTTTCTGTTATTTGTGTCTCTGTCTCCTCCATTTACAGGTCTCTGGAGAGTCAGTCAGCTGGACTCCCGATAAGCTTCCTGAGGTGAGTTTCAAGAAAGTTGTCGGTATTCATATATCCAGCTAAAGCTTCCAGACAGTGGCCTGTTTTTCTTGTGTTTATCTTAACCGTCACTGACTGTGTTTTGGCCTCTGACATGTGGCCATCACAGCCCCCTGCTTGGTGTGGACTGAAGGGATCTAAGGTAAAGAAGACTGAGAACAGGAAACAGACTGTGACATTCTCACACCAGGAGCTAGGCTAAAAACAGTTTTGGAATGAGATGGACAATGAATGGTATAGAATGTCCATTCTCTAGGAAAGTGAGGTCTAGAACAACAGCCCTTTGGTTTCCTCTCATTCCTTGGTAACAAAAAGGCCTCTGGGAATACATGCAGAGGATCGAGGGTGTGTTTCACTTGTCCAAGTTTGCACGTTCCTCAGAGGAAAAGGGAGGATTATTGATAATAATCCTAGGGCAACAAGCATAAACCATCTTCCCTTGCTATAGACCAAGTGATTTTTATGCCGGAAAATATCTGTCAACATTGGCTCCTTTGTTATAAGAACGGCAGACTTTCTCCTGCCTGTTCCTTTCTGGACACACAGTTACCATACCCAACCTTGACCTAAGTGATCTCTGACATCCTCCTCAATTCTTTTCTTTAAAATTTCTTTGTCTTTATTATTTTCAGATTTGAATTAAAAAAACATTTTTTCTCTCTAAGAATTTTTCAAACATTCCTTTAGTGGTGCATTTGGAAGAGGAAACTGAACTCATTGTTAGGGAGAAAGGATGTCCTGAGCAAACTCCATATAGGCTGTGCGCTTACGGGGACCAACGCAAGTAAAGTTACTTTGGGCTGGTCAACCACGGGTGTGACTTGGAAACCATGTTGGGTGCCTGACTGTTACAGAGCAGCCCCAATATCAAACAGGTTACCTGACTGTGGGTCTTCACCCGTGCGCTTAAAGAGGACTTATTAATGCTAAACTGCAGGCACACACAAAAGGTTAATAAAAGGTTTATTTACAAGGGAAGGGGAATGGGAAAATGAATAACTCGGGAAGAAAAAGAGAGAGATAAGTTTATAAATGTATCGTACCCATTCCGCTGACCTGGAATCCCAATGACACAGCGTGGCCAAGAGGGCAACGCCTGGCCACATGGCCAGTTAAATACTCAAACTGAGAACCTAGTTGCTTAACTCTGCCTTCAGGTTCTCATAACCTTCCCTTTGGTGCTCATGGGATTTGTAGGTCCTAGTGTCTTGATGACATGGGGGTGGAGTCCACAAAGCCTGTATGGAATTTGCTCAGAACATCCTTTCCCCCTAGCAAAATGAAGCATGAATGTAATTCTAGGGAAGGATGTCTTCTGGAGTGCCAGTGGGTTGAGCTGGACCAGCAGAACTGCAGTGTGTCTTGGTAGCAAGAGAGACTTCTTGGCCCCTCAGTAATTCAGAATATGTAGAGGCAAGGGAAGAGTCATTGAGAGAAGAGAAACCTCCAGATAATTTCACATAAACTTTCCAGTGAATTGCTGTTCAATTTGAGAAAGGAACTGAATCTCCTGTCCAATTTTATTCCTGGCTTCCAATGTGCCTTCCCCGAGGGAAATAGTAGCCAACCAGGCACACTCGCACTTTTGTTCTTCTCTCTTCTTTATGCCAAGTCTCATTTCTCCCTCCATTCCACAAGCAGGAAGAGAGGAAGGAAGAAGTGCAAAGTTTCCAGCAATTTTGTTCATTATGAGAAATGGGGAGAAAAATAGACATCAAAACTAACTTGATGTTTTAGCACCATTTGCAGGTGGTTGTTTTGTTAGCTAAGGAACATAAAAATCTAATCTAAATTTAATTTATGACCATGTTTACCTACTACATCTAGAAAGTGAGGTCCCGGAGAGGAGGAAAAATCACAGCCAAGCCTCTGGGGCATTTTAGATCATTTTTCCCCTAAAATATAAAATTGTGTAGGACATGGGGTTACAAATTACCCCAAAAAAAACTTTTCAAGGATGGGCTAGAGAGTGTCAATAACTACTTTTTGCTAAAAGCTTTTAAAAAGTCAGGCAGTGCTTTGGAATGCTGGCCGTGGGCCCAGGTCAGATTACCCAGATTAAATCATTTTCTATTCTGAATCTGTGCTCTGAGCTACCCACTTTTCAAAAGTACTTTTTATTAATTCTTGAGCAAATGTATAAAATTTTTCGTGTAAAATATTGAGAATAACAGACACCAGCCATGTCTCTCCCCAGTTCAAGGACGTGATCACCACCCCAGCCCCTTATCTCTGGACTATCCCCGAATCCCACCTCTGTCCATTGGTCAAACCCCTCTGAGGGGGACTGGTGTCCTGATTTTTATTTTATTCCTTGCTTTAAAAAAAAGAATGTTTTACTCTCCTACACTGCTGGTGGGAATGCAAACTGGTCCAACCACAATGGAGGTTCCTCAAACTGCTAAAAATGGAGCTTCCATATGATCCAGCAATTCCACTCCTAGGTATCTACCCAAAGGACACAGAAACATTAATTCAAAAGGACACCTGCACTTCTGTTTATTGCAGCACTATTTACAATAGGTAAGCTATGGAAACAACCCAAATGCCCAAAAAATAGTTGACTGGATCAAGAAGATATGGTCTGTGTACACAATGGAATATTACTCAGCAGTCAAAAAGGATAAACTCGTGCCATTCACAGCAACATGGATGGTGCTGGAAGGAATTATGCTTAGCAAGATAAGCCGGAAAGAAAAAGAAAAATATCAGATGGTTTCGTTTATAGGAGGAATGTAGAGGAACCAAATAAGGGATCAGGAAAAATATATATAATAAAGAAAAAAATCAAAATCTACAGGCAACCAGAGACATTCTGTAGGGCAGGAGGAAAGAGAGGGATCAGGACAGGGGTAGGAAGAGCACAAGGAACTATGGTGATGGTGCACGGGTGAATTGGTGGTTGGAATTTCACAGGGAGATCATAACATTGTACAAAAATGAAGGATGATGTAATATATATTTTTTTAATTATGTGACTACAAATCTAAAAAAACCCAGTAATTTGCTAAAAAAAAAAAAAATTAAAAAAACGTTTTGCCACATACTTGTGCCCTAAACATGTCATCTAGCTTTACACTGGATCTACACTGTACATATTTTTATACTACAGTATGTTCTTGAGGTTCAGCCATGGTGGTTTTTTTTATTTTTTGCATGTAGCTGTAATCTGTTCATTTCTGCTGGTGAATATAGTCCCCTGATACTTACATAAAGCATTTATTCTACTAGCAAAGGACACTAGGTAGTTGCCAGTTTTTTTTCAAATTCCAGAGTTGCTATAAACATTCTTGTAGGGGTCTTCTGTCACACATCCAGGAAATCCTCTAGATAAACACCTGAAGTTGCTTTAAAAAATGTCACCTAAAGTCTCCTTAGAAAAGTGAATACACTTCTGTACACACTTCAGCAGTGTAGAAATGTTTCAATTATTCCACATCTGCCAAGCCCCTGATATTGTCAGATAATTTGGTTTTTACCAATTTGATGGTTATGAAATGTTTTATCCTGTGGTTATAGTGTACATTTCACATACTAATAATGGGGTTGAGCATATTTTTATGTGCTTATTCACCATTCATGCTACTTCTAGGAAGTTCTTATTAACAGTTTTGCACATTGTTTTAAATATTTCAGTTTGCCCTTTGCTCATAGATCTGTAGGAATTCTTCATATTTTCTGGAATCTAATCATTTGTCAGTTAACGTTATTATGAATATCTTTGCCCAGCTTATTCCTTTTCCCCTTTTTATGCTATCTATTTGCTATACCCAGGTTATTGATTTTCATGTAGTCAGATTGGAATTTTAATATAGTCAAATCTGTCAGTCTTTTCCCTTGATGGATGACATACTTTTTGTATCTTATTAAGGAACTCTTTCTAGAAGCAGCATTAGGGAAGACAGAAGCCCCCTCTGGACTAGTACAGCCCCTGCCAGGCACTACTGCGGCCATGCCGAAAAGGAAGGCAAAAGGAGATGCCAAGGGCGACAAAGCGAAGGTGAAGGATGAGCCTCAGAGGAGATCGGCTCGGCTGTCGGCTAAGCCTGCCCCTCCCAAACCAGAGCCCAGGCCTAAGAAGGCCCCTGCAAAGAAGGGGGAGAAAGCGCCCAAAGGGAGAAAGGGGAAAACAGAGAGTGGCAAGGATGCGAACAACCCTGCAAAAAACAGAGATGCCTCCACAGCCCAGTCACAGAAAGCAGAAGGCGCCGGAGACGCCAAGTGAAGTGTGCTTTTTGGATAGCTCCGTACTTATAGTGACTCTGCGGTTTGAAATACTATTTTTTTTTTAATCGAGTTTTATAAAATGTAGAATTTTTTTTTTTTTTAAGTTATATTGTTAGCACACAGAACACTTTGTTGTCGTCATTTGTGGAAAGGGCAAATACCACTAATAGAATGTCTCAGAAGCTGGATTGAAATGGGGGGAAAACAGGATTTTATATGGTTGTTGTTGGTTAGTCTTGGTTCCCAGAAGAGCTTCTCTGACAGTCACACATGTCAGCCCCTTTGGCTCAGAAGCCTTAGAGTGTAAGGAAGCAAACTCATGTCTTCTCTTTTCCCAATGCCATCAACATAGACTTGACTTCCTGAAACCAAGGCCCATTATGTGGTGTTGGGTCCCCTAAAATCAGCTGTGTCTGTGCCCTCAAGCTTTCCAGTGGTGACTTTGAGGTAGTGTTGTTCAAAAGAGCCAAGATTCCTGTTTGTAGTTTGTGAATCATCCCACTAAGGTACTTCAGTTTTTAGTTCATTTCCTCCACATCAGAGTTGACCTATGAGCAGCTCTTACATTCATGCAAAATGTCCACCCCTGCTGAAAACTTACCCTGTTCACAACAGCTGCAGCAGAAGACTTTGCTGACTTTTGGGGAAGGGGAGTTTGGAAGTTGTAAAATGTTAAGGATTGTCATTGAGATCCTGTTGGAAGTTACTGCTTCTGAAAAGTGTCTTCTAAAACTGGATACAAGTTGGTGGTGAGAGAGATCATTTCCTATCCAAAGTCCTGAAGAAATTCTTTATTGCCTTGTAAAAGTTCTGTAGTTTTGCTTTTCATGTTTGCCTTTTGTCTTCCCCAAACTGATTTTTGTGAAAAGTGTGAAATAGAGGTACAATATTTTTTTCCATATGGGTAAGTGATTATCCCAGCACCATTTTCTGAAGTTTCACTACCCAATGATTTGTAACACTGACATTTTCATAAACCAAGTGTGTGTGTCTATTTTGACGCATTGGTTAATCTCTTTTACTTGTGGCATTACTATAAAATCCTGAGTGCTACAACTTTAGAAAAAGGTTTGGATATCTCAGGATAAATCCCATCTCCCCTTCTAACATCATCACCAAATTTTTCCTCCTGGGGAGCATCTGAGCTGCTCTTAGCCATTTGCTCTTACATACAGCTTCTAGAATTACATAGTCAAATTCTAAATCAAACAAAAAACAAGTTGGAATTTCTATTGGATTTATATTGACTTTCTAGATTAATTACAATATTAAGGCCTCCATATTATAGCTCTCCATTTATTTAGGCTTTTTAAATGTCTTTCAATAAAGTTTTATAATTTTCTCCATAAATGCTGCCTTTTGTTAATATTTCCTCGGGACTTCGCAATTTCTGATGCTACTTTATGATATATTTTTAGTTATTACTTTTTTTTTAAGTTAGGTTGATTTCTGTTTCCAACAATCCTGCTAAACTCATTAATTCCTCTATCTGTATGTACTCTAGGGCTCTGTACATACACAACCAAATATTCTTTGTATACAGAGAAGCTCGTTTCTTCTCTCGTGTGTGTGTGTGTGTATGTGTGTGTGTGTGTGTGTGTGTGTGTTTATTATATGCATGGGCAATAGGCTGTAAAGTAGGGGTTGGGGGAGGTGGGAAGAACTTGAAGAAGGACCATTTAGGTGGTTTTCACAACTGAGTTGCTGGACTTTATACTGTATTGCCATTCTTCCTTTGCTCAACTGTTACCACCCCGTTTTATCCAGTAAATAAACTTTAAGTGTTTGCTCCAGCAGCACATACACTAAAATTGGAATGATACAGAGAAAACTGGCATGGCCCCAACACAAGGATGATGCACAAATTTGTAAAGCTTTCCATATTTTAATTAAAAAAAAAAAGTTCATCGTGCTTTCTCTTTGCCAAACAACATATCAGGATCAAAGATAAATATTGACTCTGGATTCAGCAAGTGCAATAGACAGAAAGCCACCACACAGTAGTTTGCTTAGTGTTGTGATGATACTGCAGGAGACCCTAACCTTGATGCCAGAGTGTGAAGGGGTGTTGGGATGACTTCTTGGGGCATTTTGACACCTAAACAGAAAAATAAAAAGAAATGGGACTTGGTCAAACAAAGAGTGAGAAAAAGATTTCTAGTAAGAGCAATAACCTTTGCAAGATAATAAGAAAGCATGGTATATAATAGATGTTCTGCACATTATTTGTTGAATCAAAAACAAACTGCACAGGGCCTCCCCAGTGGCGCAAGGGGTTAAAACGCAAACTGAGTCTATCTGCAGCCACTAAAGCACAAGTTCTATCTTGAGGCTGGCCAGGGAGCAACCCACATGGCGCAGCAGACCTCTCCTGACTGACCTGCTGCTCCACTCAGCAGTGTACTTCTATCAGCCTGCCTGTTCTGTTCCCCACTCTGTCTCTGGTGAATCCTCTCACCCTCCCCCCCATATCTCTGGCATGTACACACACACACACACGTGCACACATTCTTGTATGCATAAATAAACCTTAAAAAAAAAACAACCGCACAGCCAAACAAGTTACATTAGATTTTTTTTTACAATAAGATTTTTAAGTGCTTATTGTTTGTCAAACACTATCTCCCCAATGATTTATAAGAATAATTTTATTTCTGTGACACTAGAGTGAATATTACCATTTTCATTTTACATTTAGTGAAACTGAAGCAACAGAGAATTGCACTGAGATTATAGTGCTATTATAGTGAGAAATAAGACCCAGATCTATAACTCCAAGATCTAGAAGTATCCTCATTGAAAAGATCACTGGTATAAACCTTGAATGTAATCCATTCAAAAAAAAAATAATTTGGTGTTTCTGAGTAAATTAAAGAATTTCCCGGAGATATGATTAAGAAACAATGAGCTGCAAGTAATAATAATATTCTGCAAGCTAAACAGCTACAATTTCCAATGAAGGATTGTAATGAAAGGCAGCAAAATCCAGGGGGAAATTGGCCAAGTGAGTTTTTAAATTTTAGTATATCACTAGCAACATAAAATTAGAAGGGATATTGTTTCTCTAAAGGGATATTGATATCTAAGGGATATTGTTGGCATCTAAAAAGATGCCAATTTTTATTTATGTTGATTGTTAATGTTGAGACGGATTTCTGAAAGTTCCTATGGTTTCTCTGGACTCCCTTGTTCATTGTGCTTAAGGATACTACTTTGGGGGGCAGAAATATTCCTGAAATTGTTGTAGAGCATTTTATATCCAACCTGGCTGCCCAACTCCACCCTCAGGTCCCAGCCACCCTCCCTTTGGTGGTGATGGGATTTGTCTTTCCCAATGTCTTGATGGCTTTAGTCTGGAGTGGGGGTGGGGTCCACAAAGCCTGTATGGGATTAACTCAGGACATCATTTCCCCCTAACAAAATGAGCCGAAACCATAAATCAACCTTTAAACCTCCTTGTCCACTTTTCGGATCCGTGTGGCTTTTTCATTCCTATCCGCATATTCATAGATTAACATCCTGGTTTATAACTATTTTGAAAATTTGGGCGCCTGACGTGAAACAGCCTAACTGATGCACAGTTTTTCAAAATCAAAATTCTAACCCTCAAAATTGAGGCCTTGGTCCGGGAGCAGTTGGACCAATTCGTATCCGCCCTCGTCCCTCTCCTTTCAACTCTGCCTAAACAGAGGTCACAGTATGCTGCACCTCCCCCTGCTGTGACCTTTAGGGCTAATGGCTTTTACCACGGTCCCTGAGGTGTGGGCAAGGAACCATGCGCGCAGGGGGAGAACAGCAAACTCCCTAAGAAACAGGTAAGACGCATGCCTGACAAAGATAACGACTACCAGAAGCCACCACAAGAATGCAAAAGGGAGTGCTGACCACACAGAACCTTATCTCACTTTCTCAGACCTACAAACTTTATTCTACTATCTTTAAAAACTTTTCCCCTTTTTTCTGGTCTATGAAGGTCATTGGCTGCTGATTAAAAAATACATGTAATCTAATAACAAGGCTAAATCAAATGAAACATTTAACTAGACTCTGTGTAACAATAGAATCATTAGTTTAGTAATATTCTCTGTTATGTGCTTGATTTTAGTAACTTTGATCTTTATGAAAAGGTATTGCATTATAAAAATAAGTTCACTCATAATGTTAGGGGGAAATGATGTCCTGAGTTAATCCCATACAGGCTTTGTGGACCCCACCCCCACTCCAGACTAAAGCCATCAAGACATTGGGAAAGACAAATCCCATCACCACCAAAGGGAGGGTGGCTGGGACCTGAGGGTGGAGTTGGGCAGCCAGGTTGGATATAAAAACCAAACACGTGGGCCTTGGGGGCCTCTCGATCGCTCGCCTCCTGGCTTCACCGCTCCTGGCTGGCAGCCAACTCTCTGAGTGCCATTTTGGGATTCCTGATCGGCGGATCAGGTAGGACTCATTTAAAACTTTGTCTCCCACTTTTCTCCCTGAGCTGTACATTTCCTCATTTCCCCTTCCCTTGTAAATAAACCTTTTATTAACCTTTCGTGTGTGCCTGCAGTAGAGCATTGATAAGTCCTTTTAAGCGCGCGGGTGAGGACCCACAGTCAGGCACCCCGTTTTGTATCGGGGTTGTTCTACAACAGTAATAACTAATAATGATTAAAAATAAGTTAGTGGTAGCAAGTAGTTAGTAAAGTAAAAATGTAATTGTATAGAACAAAAGAGAAATTAATGGCCTGCCTACTTAGGAATGTGCTTAGGTCCAGATGTACTTTCCGACATAGATCACTGCCCTGTCAATGATAAGCTAGACCTATGAGCAAGCTGATTTCACTGATATACGTTGTTCCTATGCTCTTAGAAAACATATATATACTGGTCACCAACTCAAAGAAAATTACACTCAGATTTTCACTCTCTTGAAGTGTGTCTGTGTCATTCATTCGCCTAATCCTTGACCACTCTGCGCGATCTCTCAACCCTGAGACGGCCTCATCGTCTACTGCTGTGCTGGTCCGCGGCAAGTGGCGCCCAAACGTGGGTCCCGACTTCGAATTTTGCTGAGTTTTCCACCCAAATGGAGAGGTGAGTAGTGAAGAGATTGCGTTGGGTAAGCTACCTCCCTACTGGTGTGTGAGTGTGAATGTGAGCCCCTTAAACAATACCTTCTTTCAAAAAACAGTCAAGGATAGGATCCTCACTGGAGCGTCCGGAGCTCGCTGATAAAGGGTGATCAGTTTGAGACAGTGAGAAGTGTCTCTAAGCGTAAAAGTATACTCATGGTGCTGTGTGTGTGTGAGAGTGCGTAGCTACGACTCCACGGCCTTTTGGCTACGGAACCTGAGTGGGCTGCACCCGCGATTCCCGTGGAGGAACGTCATACGGCATAACGGTCATCTGCTCCTCGGAGTAGCCTGGTCCGGGATTTATACGGACAGACCTTAGCTAAGACGCCTCCATAAGCTCCCGCGAGGGACACGGGCCGGACAGCACAGTTGAAAGGATATTCTGGTTGATTGAACAAAAGCACCACGAACTAATGGGTCAATTACAGACCAAAAATAGAGATCTTTTTCTATCTATACTAAAAAATATGATTGAAGCATGTGGTATTAAAGTAAGTAAAAAAGCTTTACTGCAACTTTATGAATTCATATTACGGGTATGCCCATGGTTTCCAGAAGAAGGCAGTTTGTCACTAGAAACCTGGAAAAAGGTAGGAAGAGAAGTAAAAGAATTCTATGCCCTTCATGGACCATCTCAAGTCCCGACTCAGGCGCTGTCCTTGTGGGTACAGATTAGGGATCTGCTGGTTGATGCCACTGAGACAGAATTATGGGGAAGTCAACACAAGGATGAGGCTCAAGATGATCATACAATGAACAAAGACATAGAAAAAACCCCACTACTTGCTCAAGCCTCCGCACCCTTATTAGAAGAATCCCTCTCCCACTCGGAGAATGAGCTTAGTGATCATGAGTACACCGAAATGTTAGACAGATTAACTTTCAAAAATGAAGAGCCCTCTAGCCCAATTACTAATCTTTTTCCCGTTGTTACTAGACCTAAACCTGTATTACATAAAAATCTTGCTCATGATGGTACCCTTCGAGGACCACTAGGTGGCATTCTAGGATCAGCCAGAGAGGCCAGTAAGACGGGAGATTGTTCATTTGCCTTTGTCTTGGCCGGACCTCGGGCCTTGGCTCGCGCTGATAACAAAGGCCCTGCATGGGAGGCCATCCCTATAAAAACTCTTAAAGAATTACAGTCAGCTGTTCAGACAACAGGACATAGCTCCTCTTACACTTACCAAATTATTGATATGTTATCGGCCACTTGGATGACCCCTTATGATTGGCATAATCTTGCCAAGGCTGTTCTTCCTTCAGGAATGTATGTACTGTTTCGCATAGAATATGAGGACCAAGTACATGCCTTCCTCAAGGAACACGAGGATATGGTCAGGGCTGACAAAATTTCTTTTTCCATGTTCATGGGAACAGACAAATTTACTGAGGTACGAAGACAGGCTGCCCTCCCAAAAGATGTACTAGTTGAGATTAATAGAATGGCTGTTGCTGCATGGAAAAATCTACCTTCATCTGAGCATAAACCCACTAACCTCACTGATATACACCAACGCCAGGATGAAATGTACCAGGATTTTGTAGCTAGGTTGGAAACTGCCTTAGAAAAAGTACTCCCACCTTCCGGAGCTCGTGATTTGTTGATTAAACAACTCGCATGGGAAAATGCTAATTCCCTATGTAGAAAATTAATTAGACCCATAAGGAAAACTGGTACACTACAGGATTATATTAAAATTTGTTTAGGTGCTTCCCCTGCGGTAGTCCAAGGCATTGCCTATGCTGCTGCCATGAAAGGTCAACCTTTCGCTGCATTTGTACAGGCAATGGCTCATGGACGGCGTAACAAACAGGTTACATGCTTCAGTTGCTGCCAGCCAGGCCATACCTCTAAAAATTGTCCAAACAAAACCGAGGTAATTACTAATTATAAACGCGCTAATACTGCACCAAGTCCATGCCCTCGTTGCAAAAAAGGCAATCATTGGGCCAAAGAATGTCGTTCTAAATGGCATAAAGATGGTCATAAATTAACCCCTACTTCTAATCAGTCAGATGACCCAAAAAACTTCCAGAGGGGCAAGCCCTCAGCCCCGTAAAAGAAGGAGGGTCTCATCAACAACCCCCTCATTCCATACCTGTCACTTATTCCGATCCCATTCCCCAAGTGTTAGTTCATGACCTTCCTCGGGGCACCCCAGGTAGCACTGGTTTAAAAAAAAAAAGGGGGGGGACTTCCACCTTCTTAATCCCTCCCCTATAGGATGGACTTCTTTCAGCTTCTATCAAGGCAACTTACAAACATAAGGTACAAAATGATCTTATAAAAATCTTGGGGCACCTCTGGGAGCCTTTTCCCTGGTGTCCGTTTCAATCCTGCTGGTTGGCACAGGCAGGAGAGGCTGAGTTTCATATTATGACAGGAATGTATGTACAGGTTTGCCTCAAATCCTAGGTCCAGCTAATTAATTATACCTTTGGTATTACAAATTTGTCTCATGGCAGTTTTTCAAAAGGGAGTTTAAAATAAGTAAATATCAGGTTCTGGGCTACTGCCGCTTCAAGGGCTATGACTTAAGAAAAAAAAATCAGTTTTGCTGTCTGACAAATGGGCATCATTAGAAATTAGGTTGCAGGACTCGGTCTGTGGCTTGTGTTAAGTCTCTACTGTTCAGGTGTTTTCAGGGTCTCTTTCATCAGATGAGGAGAATGGCTTAAGCTCGCTAGAAGCTTGGAATAGGTGCCCTTTGCACAGGGACTGGATAGGGGACGCCGGTAGGATCCCACAAAATCCGGTACCCCTCACTTGTCTGTTTAGAGGGAGACAGATTAAGTTAGCATCGGTCACGCTGGTAAGGGAGTGATTAAGTCCAGTAGACCTTATGCGAGGAGACTGTTAATCACTTGCAGTTAGAGCTCCAAGTTTTGATAGAGGGACGCCTCTGGTAGAAAGAAGCTGGTGCTGCCTTTACTCCTGCCTTCTTGTTGTGGATGGGAGCTTCCTCATCAGCCTTGCAAAGGGGCACGCGTCTCTCCTACATCCTAAAGTTGAGACTAATTTTCAGGAGTAATTGTCTCCTATCTCACCTGTTGCTTCTCTTAGTAAGTCACTGAGACCCAAGTCTCGACATTTCTCCTGCATCCTAGAGTTAAGAGCCAGTCAAAAAACCATAAATATGGTCCTGGTCGGATGGGATGACCTCTGACTTTACTGCAGGAATGCCCCTGCTTTGTCTCTACCCTGCTAATGCGGGTACTTTTCTTTTATTGCTACAGAGACCATAAAATGCTCTATCTCAATTCCATGGGACATGCCCTTAAGCCACATTTTTAAGAAAACTAGCCCAATTTGGCCATAAATGGCATCTTTTCCAGCTAACCCTCCTTGGTCACAGTCAAAAAAAAAAAAAAAATGCTGGGGACTAATAATTAAAGGGGCCCACTACAGCTGGCTGGTAAAAAAGACTGCCTTTGATCTCAGCAAGCAGCTGCCTGGATTGTTTTTTCCAGTGTTGAGATCATTGGTATGTCTCTGCTGCCTTCCAGTTGTGGGGTAACTAGACTCTCCCTTTGTCCACCTTGAAAAACTGTTTTGGTTCATGCTAGGGAAAAAGTTCTATTTCCCTGTGTTTTTCTGATTTTAAAGTCAAGATTGTTAAAGGTAAAAACTGCTGAGTTACTTTGGACTTGCTAACGAGCTATAAAAGGTGATTTTTGGTTAAGTGACATCTTCTAAACTGCTTATTGGACCTGTAAAAGTTTAGTTTCTTATTAAGACTAATTTCTGATAAGAGTTTGAAAACAGGCAAACTGTAAAGGAAGATCTTATTCTTCCTCTTCTCCTGTCCTCCCCATACATGGTTCTGAAAAGAAAAAATGCCTTTTGTCTTAAAAATGTGCTTGGTCTCAGTGTGACAAAACTAAAACAATGTAAGGCCAATTAATAATACTTAAAAATACAAACTTAAAATGTTTTTCTTGTCTAAGAAAGTTAGTACAAACTGCTTGACTTTAAAATTGTTGTGGTTTTGGTTGGACCCTAGGTTTTAAGTAAGGGTTAAAATTGGATACTTGTTCTATGTACGAATTCTAACTTCTATGTCATTAAAAACCTGCTTGATATAAAAAAGATATTAAAAACTTGGTTAAATGAATGTGTCAAACAAAAAATTGTTACTAAAGAAGGGGAGTTTACTAAACTGTAGTTTCTCAGTGTCTTTGCAAATATTGGTAAAAATAACTATATCTTAAAATTAATGCACATGGCCAAAAGTTTTAAATGAAAATCAAGAGATCTCTTTGTTCTTGCTTTTTGCCTCCGGAGGATTAATTTTAAATGGCGCCTATATATATAAAAAAAATCCTAAATTTTGAAATCGCGATCTACAATTGTGGTAAAGAAAAAAAAACTAATTCAAAATTTAATGGTTTAAAAAGCATACATGCCTTAAGGTTTTAATGTTGGGTATTAATACTTCATGTTGTTTAAATGTGTTTACTCATGCTATACAAAGGGAATAATTAACCTGGCCTATGCAAACAAACAAAACTTACTTCTAGGCTTTTATCTAAACTTCTCTTGATAAGATCTTGTTCCAGAAAGACTGATCTACTTGTCTTTCCCCCTTGGAGAAAACAATATATTCTCCCATTAAATGACTATATTTCTTTACAAAATTCAAGGTAACATCTAAAGCCATATGGACAAGTTACTAAAAAATGTTTATGGTATTAAGTGTCTAATTTTTTTCTTGCTTTTGTCAATCTATCTAGTGCTTGCCTAAGAAAACTTGGTATATAAAATTGTTACAGTGGCAACTCTGCAGTTGACTTAAAATTCCAGTTCTAAGAAAAAAAAAACTAAAGCTAAACTAAGGCTTTTGCTAAGTTGAGTAATAAACTTTGTTAATCATTTACTGAAATTTCAGGTTTACATTTTGCTCCTTATTGCAAGGAAACTAAAGTTTAATGTCATCACAACAACAACCAAAAAAAATTTGAAAAATGTGTCTGTAAGTTGTGTAGTCTAAAGAGATGATAGTGTAACAGCTATTATGGTGTCTTACAATACAGAGATTGGAAACTAAGGTGTGATAATTCTGGATACAAGTAAAGTAAGGTGTGTTTGTGTTTTAAAAGGAAAAAAAAAACAAAGGGAAGTGTTAAAGGTCTGAGTGAGGGATTTTTTTTTTGACAGAAAATTTTGTGCTCTCAAGTGACTTGCCATAAAATATTTTGGTTAACTTAAATGTCAGTTGTGCACCTGTGTGGTACCAGGCTTTAGTTATTTTGTTATATAAAATTGTTTCTTGTTGTGAAAACAAACTGAGTCAATTTGGGTATATTGATACCTCATAGACAGTATTCTCATAACATTGTTTCACCTTTTCAACATAAATGTACACAAATAAAATTATTCTAAAATACATAAGACTTCTTAAAACCTAATAAGCCAGTTATTTCAGGCTAAATTTACTGAGGCTATAAAAAGGTATACTAATCTAGACCCTAAAAAGGACAAACAATTTAACGGTCTCGTCTCCTTCACTAGTCAGCCTTGCTCTGACATCAGGTGCAAACTCCAGAGATTAAGTCAAGGGCCTAAAATCCTTTTAATACTTTTAAACACGGCCTTCAAGGCCTACAGTAATATGGAGGGGCCAGCCCTAACCTCGGGCCAGGATGGGAGGACAGGCTTGACCGTCAGCTGCCTCTGACTATGAAGAACCCAGTGCAGGAGAAGATCTTCTCTGAAGAAACCCAGAGTTGAGAGATTCCCCTGTTTACTGTTTATATGGACAAGCCAATTCTTTTGACTGACCTACTGGTCAATTGTCCCCCTCACTAGTACAAATGTCCAGCCTGAGCCAGGACACTTTACAGCACTGCCTCGTCAATTTTCCTGGCACTTATTGCCATTTTTGGCATCTCAGTCCACACCTGTACAATCGGCACATTTTTGGGCTTATGTTCCCGAGCCACCTTTTCTGCACCCGGTCCCCTGGACGGAAAACTCTATTATAAAAGTTTATGTTAATGATACCAACCTTCTCGGTGGTTTGGCTGATTTTCACTCTGAACACATGGTTTCTTCCCCAATTGATTATGAGGGTATGTCTGATGACCCTCCGCTCTGTGTCTTTGCTGACTCTGTATCCCTCCCTGGCTGTATGATGCTACATTACGTTTCCATGCTCACTGATGCACCACCTCGCACTCCTCCTGAAGACCATCGAGCGAACAACAAAGACCGCATCGTCTGGGTATTGACGTTTATGGCTCTGGACCAACTAACGGCGGACAATGGTATCTGCACCTTCTCCTCACCATCCTTTACTCCTCCCTTTCCCAGCTGTGTTCAAAAATACCGGGATGTTGACCAATTTTGGGATTCCCTTATTTCTTACCCAGTTTGGCTTCCACTGTGGTTTTTCTCAAGCACTGCCTATATCCCCTCTCATGTCTCAGTTTACTGTGTATGATTTTTCATTTGCTGTTCCAGCCTTTCACTACAGAAAGTTTTCTGTTGGATGGGTGCCGCCCATGTATGTTTTTCATCATCACAATAAGACTTATTTTCAGCCTGAACTCTTTTGTCTCTTCGCGGCCTTTGATGCCCTACACTTCAAACAACCTGGACAGAATACCGCTGAAATTTCGGTGCGTGCCTGCGTTGGATACCCCTTCGCTCTACTTCTGGGAAACGCCTCAGCTACACGCATTCAATTACGTGGGACTTCTTACTCCATCCATTGTTCTGGCTGTGTTGTTACTAATTGTATTACCCCCTTTCTCGCTCCTCTGTATCCGGTTGTGATCTTACTCAAAAGACCCCCTTATGCTATGTTACCTGTTGATTTACATGATATGCCTTGGTATGATAATACTGCCATGCAAGTTTTGGATGAGGTACATGCTCTTCTTCACCCTAAACGTTTTATTGTTGCCCTTATTTTGGGCATTGCTGCCTTAATTTCCCTGGTTACTTCATTAGCTGCTTCCTCTGTTGCTTTAATTCAGGAATCTAAAACGGCTTCCTTTGTAAACGACCTTACCAGAAACGTGTCCATGGCACTCTCCACACAGAAGGAAATCGACTATAAGTTGGAAAGGAAATTAAACGCCTTAGAGGAAATTGTAATCGCTCTTGGCGATGAGGTTCAACTTCTCAAACAACAACTGTCTACTCGCTGCCATGTTCAGTTTCGTTTCATTTGTGTTACGCCTTTACGTTATAATTCTTCCCTGCATTGGAATCTTACCAAACATCACCCATTGGGCATCTGGCATGACAAAGACCTTTCTCATGACCTCTCGTCTCTACAGTCCGAAATTTCTGCTGTCAGTAAATCTCATCTTGACACTTCTGTTTCTTCCTTTGCCCATTCTCTGGCCTCCACTTTCCAATCTCTGACTCCCACTTACTGGTATCATCTTGTCCTCTCTTTCGCTGCTCTCTCTCTACTCGTTCTCCTCCTTTGTTTATTCTCCTCTGTATCCGCTCACTTCACAGGTCTATCTACCGCATCCAACGTGACATGCATGCTTACCAACTCCGTTCTAAAAACAAAGGAGGACCTGCTGCACCTCCCCCTGCAGTGACCTTCAGGGCTAATGGCTTTTGCCAAGGTCCCTGAGGTCCGGCGTGGGCAAGGAACCATGCGCGCAGGGGGAGAACAGCAAACTCCCTAAGAAACAGGTAAGACGCATGCCTGACAAAGATAACGACTACCAGAAGCCACCACAAGAATGCAAAAGGGAGTGCTGACCACACAGAACCTTATCTCACTTTCTCAGACCTACAAACTTTATTCTACTATCTTTAAAAACTTTTCCCCTTTTTTCTGGTCTATGAAGGTCATTGGCTGCTGATTAAAAAATACATGTAATCTAATAACAAGGCTAAATCAAATGAAACATTTAACTAGACTCTGTAACAATAGAATCATTAGTAATATTCTCTGTTATGTGCCTGATTTTAGTAACTTTGATCTTTATAAAAAGGTATTGCATTATAAAAATAAGTTCACTCATAATAATGATTAAAAATAAGTTAGTGGTAGCAAGTAGTTAGTAAAGTAAAAATGTAATTATATAGAACAAAAGAGAAATTAATGGCCTGCCTACTTAGGAATGTGCTTAGGTCCAGATGTACTTTCCGACATAGATCACTGCCCTGTCAATGATAAGCTAGACCTATGAGCAAGCTGATTTCACTGATATACGTTGTTCCTATGCTCTTAGAAAACATATATATACTGGTCACCAACTCAAAGAAAATTACACTCAGATTTTCACTCTCTTGAAGTGTGTCTGTGTCATTCATTCGCCTAATCCTTGACCACTCTGCGCGATCTCTCAACCCTGAGACGGCCTCATCGTCTACTGCTGTGCTGGTCCGCGGCAACAGTAAAATGTAAAATGTCCGCCACTGCTCCCCAAAACCCTCCAGCGGCTTCCGCACTGGATCATAAAAATGACCAAGCTCCCGCCCGCCCCTCCCCCCCCCTCAGCCGTTCCGGCTCTTCTAGGCGCTAGGAGGTCGCGCTGCTCGGAGTCGCCTCCAGCAGGTCGGTCTCGGAATCGCGCCCCCAATCCCCAGACCTCAAATGCTCTTCCTACAGTGCTCCTCCGACAGCTCGGACACCCAGCTGCGGCTTCAGGTAGCAGCTCTCCCCGCCAATCTCCCAGTAGATACTTGCCCGGGGGAGGGGATTGCCAGCCAGGGAGTCGCCTGGCTGTGGAGTTGCTTAACCCTTTGCTTCTCTAGGAGCCCTCTGGCCCCCCTGAATTTCAGCCCGGGGAGTCCTTCTCAAAATTATATGTGCACATATGAAGGTGTGGAGTCGTAGCCCCAAGTATATTCTTTGGGTGAACGATTTGCACACCAAAACAATTGGAAAAAAAATAAAAATAATAAGTGTCATGGAGAAATAATTGCCCATCGTTTGAAAACACAGATGAAATGAATAAATTCCTAGAAAAGTATAAAATGCCAAAATCGACATGAGGAAAAATAAATTTTTTAAAAAGAAAAAGAAAAACATGGCAAAAATGCATAAATACATAGAAAACCACATACTGTAAAAGTTATCAAACAATTTAAATAACTTGCAGTATTGTCATATGTGCTTCTTCATTAATGCAGTAAATGTTAAACATCAAGATCCATCTTGTGACTACTGTGATTTTGAAATGGTTAAGAGAGATGTTTGCACCAACTGCATAGTGAAACGAAGATGTGTGTTATTTTTCTTGAAAACAAAGACACTGGAACTCTCTTCCTACTGTAGTTTGTGGCTGGCATTTCTATAGGATGTATATGCTCAATTTCAGTCAGAGGTCAGAGATTTTAAATGTATGTTTTACCTCATCCAAGTTCACCAGTCCTGGCGTTCCAAACTGCTGTAAACAAGGCTTGACACCTAGAAAAACCCCCAAATGGAGAGATGAGTCATTTTTTTATAATAAATTTTATTTTTATATTCCCCATACAATTGCAACCCCCTTATTTTGACCCCAATCCCTCCCCTCCTGCCCCCTACCTCCCATAGAGTGTCTCTGGTTCATAGTTTTTTGTTGATTTTGATTTTCACTTTCTTATAGTTATTCTTTTTCCTGGTCCCTTATTTAAGTTTTCTAGATTCCTGCTATGAGTGAGACCATCCAGTATTTTTCTTTTTCTTTCTGGCTTATTTCGCTGAGCATGATCCCTTCCAGCGCCATCCATGTTGCTGCAAATTGCATGTGTTTATCTTTTTTGAATGCTGAGTAATATTCCATGGTATATATGTACCACATCTTCTTGATCCAGTCAGAGAGATGAGTCATTTTTAGGGTAACTTTTTTTTATACCTGATCATATATCTTTGGGATGACCATGCTGGAGTTAATCAAATGAAGTTTGGAGGGAGCATAAAGATGAAACCTGAGCTCAGTCCAGTAATTTAGTCACTTTGTCCACACTCTCTAGCTGTGGGATAGAGGAGGGGGTGTGGGGAGAAGGGGTGGCAAAGGGAGGGAATGGGGAGACTTCAGGGAGAATGGCAAATGTTTGCAGGCTTTCACTTGTGTGCTAAGGCGACAAAGCAGGCCCAAAATCCTTGTTTTCACCTGGGACTAAAGCTGTTCAGCTCACAGATCTGGAGAAAAAGCTCTTCCCTCTAAGGAATAAGTAGAAAAATAGCAAAAAGTGAAAAAGCTACGAGGTTTGTCTGTACGGTTTCTAAGTCACCCATCCCTCTAAGAAAAAGCAAGGGCCTTGGGTGAACCACTATATGTTCATTTGGGAATAGCATAGAATTGCAAGTCCAGCAGCACAGGTTTGGGTTAGAAGCCCAAAACCAATCCCCAGAAGGGGGTGGGGGTGGGAAGGAGAGGAAAGAAGAGGGGAGGGGAGGGGGTTCAAATATTTTCAGCAAATTCCCTGTTCCCCACCTTCTGAGGAGAGAACAGGAGAGGAGAGAACAGAAGAGAGGAGGGGAGGGGAGGGGAAAAGAAGGATGAGGTGATGAAGGGTGAGATAATAGTGAGATGTAAAGTCACAAGTGATCACAAAGTTAAAATAGGTCAGAATTTTTTTTTTATCAGTCATTTCAAACAAGATATCCTCATACATTCTGACTTTTTAGAAATCCTATGATTTGGCCCAGTTTGAGGATCAGATCCAGTTTTAAGAGGAGAGGAAAGCATTTTTTTTTTTCTCTGCAGTAATGTCACTTTTCACACTTGCAAGAAAAGACTCAAAGATGACTTTGTACAAAGGATTTAGCTCTAAGCTTGACTTTTGGTGGGGAGAATGTAAAATGTGCTCACACCTTGTTATAGTCCCAGCAGTCATGGTTTAAGCTAAGGTTAGATAAGCATAAGAAACAAAACAATGAGAGTATGATCAGAGGCAAAGTTAGCTCAGAAAGGGTCATCTTTCCCTAGCAAAGAGTTCAAGTTTACTGTTTGTCTTGAAAACTTTAGGCCTGGGGGAAATTCTCATCGGATTTGCATTTCCCAAACACCTCTGCGTCAGTTGGCCTGTGTGTGGCTGCATTGGGAGGTTATTGGAGGTGAAGGTTTCCTGACTGTAAAATATTCTGCTTTATGCAGACCTAGAAATCAGTCTGTCCACTTTACTGAAAAAGATAGCTAAAAAGACAATTTCCACAGTCCTCATGAGAGATGACAAGAGCCTGAATTTGGGTGGTAATAAGGGAGGAAAAAAGGAAAGATTTTCACCAAATTCCCTGTTCCCTACCTTCTTAAGTATTTAACAGGTAGACTTGGCAATGGATTGGATGTGCAGGAATGGGATGAGGGAAAGGAAGCAGTCTGAGAAGGCACCCATATTTCTAACTTTGGAATTCACATGGGTGGTTGTGTGAGTAATCAAACTAAGGGACACAGGAGAAGGAAGAGGAGAGAAGGGGCAGATGAGTACCAATTACTGTAAAGGGTCAGAAATTTTACCATACATGCAAGTTAAACTAGATTAGTGAAGCTGCCACATACAGTTTCATAAGACTTCCAGGACAATTTATTATTCCAGTAACAGCAAAAATCGGATTATAGACCTTTTCTCTCTGTTTCCTTGGCCTCAGTTCCCAGAGGGCAACACCATGACATCTGTGGATGCAGTGGGTTATGTTACAGCGGGGGAAACCCTAGTGCCAGGGATCCCAGATCTCTTATGAAGGGCAGTAAGCTTTAGCCTGTTGCTCTGGAAAGAAGCATTAACTCCCCTTCCAAGGGTGTTTGCTATCTACTATCCTTGAAAAAAACAATCTAGAACAAAGAGCATTCAGTGCCTCACTAGCAATATAAGTAAACATGTGAGAGATTCATGATGAGTTGTATTCACTAGTTGGGTTTTCAAGTGTTTGAAGAAATCCAGGAGACAGGTTTAGAGATCCAAAGAACAGTGTGAAATGGAAATAAAATTTAATTTTGTGCCATTTTGTAACCATTTAACATGTAAATTGCTTGCCTCCTGGAATTGGAGTCATGGTCTTGGCAAGTCTGTCAATCAATCAAATGCAAATAAGTGGATTTTTGTGGCACATCAGCACAGTCAGGCTGGGGTTTCAGCCCACTAATATCAAATACATACAATAAACAAAATGTACATGTTCAAGTAATTATCTCCTCTTTCTATCCCAAACTTCCCCCCAAGAGGGTGAAATGAAAGGGGGTCTTTTGACTGTCATATAATTTATACACAGACTGTCAAAGTCCTTCATCTGCTCAAGCCATGTAGCAGCTCAACTTTCGTGGTCTGGCAGTCTCTGAGACAACATTAGATCATTTTGGAGTTAATACTCCATTTATAGACCCCCTCCCACTGCTTATGTTTCAAAGTTACTCTGTTGTGCTTAAATTTAATGGAAGTTTCTATTCTTTTGTGAAAGCTCTGAGCATTTCATAGAAAATGTAGGGCTGTAAGAGCAATTTAATGGTGGCTAGCATGTTGCATATTTAAAAGTAGGCAGGGATTTGAAATCAGAGTGGACAGCATTTTGTTCCTGTTAGGTATGTATGCCTAAGACCAAATGTACCCTAAACTTCAAACTGCCGGTCATGGCCAAAATTCACAGCCAGTGGGGTCTGAGAGCTGAGGTTCAGCACAACCAGTTTACGTTCCCAGAGCTGAGCAAAATCGGGGTTGAGAAAGGATCACACCAAAGTAGGCAGCTGGACTTTTGTTGTTTTGCAAGAAATAACTTGACTCATCACCCGGTATCAATTGCCGAATGAACTTTTACTAATGCTGTAGATGAAATGTTTCGTGCTGTGCCTTCCGTTTTCTTACAGCTCCTAGATCACGCTATCTGTGATGTGCTCAGGATTTCTGCTCATTTTGAGAGGACAATTAGCCTGTGATTTGAGATTATCTTTCCCACTGTTACTGGGAGAAACATACAGGAATGGGAAAGAAAAACGCTAACGCCCGAACAGGGACTTGAACCCTGGACCCTCAGATTAAAAGTCTGATGCTCTACCGACTGAGCTATCCGGGCTCTTGTAAGCCCTGCCGGGTGTTCAACTATAGTCTATTTTTCTACAGTCCTGAACGCGAATAATTTTGTTTCATCTGTGATTATGGTTTAGTAATGTTCGTTCCAGAAATACAAATTAATATCCTAATTAGCATAGAAACTCAGCCACAACAAAAGTCTTCCTTAAGGCTGTGTTCTAGCCGTATTACACTGATTATGCCCCCCCATTCTTTGTAAGCATGCAATAAAAGTATTGCAATATTATATATATATATATATATATATATATATACTATCTATCTATACCTTGCTATACAGAATTTAGTTCAGTCAAGAACTCCAGGATGTTAGCCTTCAGTTCTATGCTTCTCAGACAAACAACGCAAATATTCGACATTTGGGACAAAGCAGTACTTTCCAAAGGCAGCCGAATCGATGATGGCAATTTTAAGGGACAATTAAGTCACCTTTTTGGCGGCATTTTCAACATCTGATCATGGGCCCAAGGACATAGGGAGCGGTTTGATTTTGTGTGGAGCCTAAGTTCTTTCAAGAAAAGGGAAAAATAAAGACAGACGCTTTAAAGGGAGATTGCCACTCACCCTTTTCTTGTCAGATGTCTGAGTAGTTATTTCCATATTTTGGTGTATCTAGGTTAAGTGCTTGATGAAGGTCGATGTCTGCAAGAATTCCTTCACTTGGAACGTCAATGAAAGTTGCCCCATTAACCATTTCAAAATTTTGCTAAATAAATAACAGGTAATTTTATTTTAGTATTCAGAAAATCTTAAAATTGCAAGAGGAAATATATGATTCAAAGAATTGGGGAGAGCGACGGAGAGTGGTATTTTAAGCTTGGGGATGTAGCTCAGTGGTAGAGCGCATGCTTCGCATGTATGAGGCCCCGGGTTCGATCCCCGGCATCTCCAAGACCTTTTACACCTATAATTAAGACCTTTTACACCTATAATTAGAAAACATTTTCATAATGTAGAATCTTTGTGCTTTGCATCCTCCTCGTCACTAATTTCCTATTATGTGTATTTTTAGACAACTACATATGGAGTAATTTATGTAAAGAAGGAAACAGCATTACTTTAAGGTATTTTGGGACATCTTTATCTGAAAGGAATGAAATTGGGACCATAGAAAAAAAGTAAGCTAATGGAGACCCGGCTGAATAGGAGCAACATGGAAAATAGCCCAGGACCCATTAATGAAATGCTATTTGTGGTATCTGGTTGCTCTTTAAAGCAGAAACAATTCTGGCCTGGGAACATGGAAAGGGGAGAAAGGGAGTTTGCGTCTTTGTTGCTGCATGATGATACAAAAACAAAACAAAAACAAAAAAAAACCTGGAGCAAATACTGGGAAAATCACAAAGTCCTATGGCATGGGAGAATTCATCTGCTTTGATTCACTATGCTGGTTGCAATAAGAAGAAAGAAAATATAAGTAAACGAATGAATAAAAAAGGAAGTGGATAACTAAACAAATAAAGAGAACAAATCACCATTAAAGTTTTGGAATCCCCACCGCGCGTGGTGGCCGGTTAGCTCAGTTGGTTAGAGCGTGGTGCTAATAACGCCAAGGTCGCGGGTTCGATCCCCGTACGGGCCACACCTGAACTATTTTTTTTTTCTTGCTTTACCTCAAGAACTATCACAAAACTTTTTTTCCAGAGAGAAAGAACGAATTGTCAGATTATCCTACAAGACATTCCTAAATCAGGGTGCTCAAAAAGATTTCCTCCTATAGGAGGAAAAAATCAGCAGGACACCGTGAGAGTTATCACATTCATAAGAAGGAAGAAGCGTTGCCAGTGGTCAAACAATGCCCCGAAGTAGAAGAATATAAATTTGTCTTTGAGTGAAATGTGAGGCCAGCGGGAGAGTGTAGCGCTCATTAACAAGGGTTCCTGACTGGGTATTTCATCATTCACACTTCAAAGAAGGAATCCCATCTTGAGAGGAGCGTTTTCTACTTACTTTGAGTCCTTAATAAGAAGAAAGAAAGAAAGGAAAGAAAAGAAAGAAGGAAGGAAAGAAAGAGAGAGAGAGAAGGAAAGGAAGAGAGAAAGAGAGAGAGAGAAAGCAAGCAAGCAAGCAAGCAAGCAAGCAAGCAAGCAAGCAAGCAAGCAAGCAAGCAAGCAAGCAAGAAAGAAAGAAAGAAAGAAAAAAGAAAAGAAAGAAGAAAGAAAGAAAGAAAGAAAGAAAGAAAGAAAGAAAGAAAGAAAGAAAGAAAGAAAGAAAGAAAGAAAGAAAGAAAGAAAGAAAGAAAGAAAGAAAGCCCGTTTCCAGAATCCATTCAATACCTCCCTGTCACTGACTTGGTGGTCCCAGTTGGCCGACGCCCGCTTCCCTCTGTCCATTAGCTGACGTCACGCCTCTTGAATTAGTCTCATTTTCTACCAAAGTCAACTTTCAGCAGCCTACTTATGTATCCCCCTCCTCCCCGTCCGTGTACAACTGATTTCCTTTCTTTATTCACGACCTCCCAGTTTCATACCCTTTTAATTTCCAACTTTTTTAAGGCGCTGAGATCAAGAGTACCCCGCCGCCCCCACCTCCCCTCGGGCCCCCGGAGCCTGCGAGCGGGCCCGGGCCAGCCTCAGCTGCAGGCGAGTTGGGGAATTTGTGAAAAATGCAGTGTGTTGGGCCTCGCTTCCAGCGACCTTGACGCCGTAGATTGGGAAAGAGCACAGGCTTTCTGCTCTTGTAATAAACACTATAGATGGGTCGGCTTTAGAAAAATTGGGTTACTGTCAGATGGGTAAGTTCTGAGAGCCATATTGACCTGGTTTTCAAAATTGGAAGAAAATTCTGTATGATCTCACTTTATATATAGAATCTAGAAAATCGAAATCTAGGGAACTTAGAACAGTGGTGGTTGTCACAGGTGGGTGTGGGAAATGGATGAAGATGGTCAAAAGATACAAACCTCCAGTAATACGACAAATTCTGGGAATGTAATGTATAGCCAGCAATAATGTATTGTGTATTTGAAAGTTGCTAAAAGAGGTCCTAAAAGTTTTCATCACAAGAAAAAAATTAACTCTGAAGGTGACGGATGTTAGCTAAACTTTGTGGTAATTATTCCCAATATATACATGTATCATATTATGATGTTATATACCTTAAACCAGTAGTTTTTTAGTTATAACTCATAGAACTGGAGGTGGGAGAACTAGCAAATGTAATACAATATGTAACTGGCTGTTAAAATTGTAAAACAAAATGTTCACACTAAAAAATTTAAAACTATGAAAATTTTAATATAAGTAAAAATAGGAAAGTAAGAAGGGACAAGGTAAGAGCAGTTATAATTGCCTAAAATTCACTAAATATTAATATGTTCGCAAGCAGGCTGTATGGCTCGTTGGTCTAGGGGTATGATTCTCGCTTAGGGTGCGAGAGGTCCCGGGTTCAAATCCCGGACGAGCCCTTCTTTTTCTCTTACTAACAGCTCTCAAGCTTTAAACTTCAGACAACAGAAATTTGTTAACTGCAACTACCAAACCGTCGTACTCTGCCTTCCTGTAAAATGTGGAGGCTGAATGTGCACCTGATCCCAGGAAGTAACTTGAAAACTCTTCCAATTAAAAAAAGAGACTAGTACTGTCCAATTTTGACTATTATTTAGTTTAGCATCAGCTCTAAATAACTCTTGCAAAAGCAGATGTTTCTGGCTCCTCTAGAAGTTCCTAGTCCACGGTTGTGAGATCACAAATAAATGTGTGGGAAGACGTTGGTCACATCTCAAATTCAGTGTTAACCATCATTCAACACATCAGAGAAATAAATTTCTGTGGGAAAAAAAAAACACTGAATTACAGAATCGGGTGTTGAAAACCTTTATATACATTTGTCGACTTTTCTTATTATAGCTTCAAGAATTACCCCCTCATGCAGGAGATCGCGGTATTGTTCCCTTATTGTGAGGGGGCACTTTTTCTCTCCTGTTGCTATGTAGTTTCATCCAGCAGTTATTTGTCTTGCATCTCTTATGTTCAGCGTACTTTTGCTTGCAGCAGGAAAACAAAAACAAAAACAAAAACAAAACAAAAAGCAGTGGTTGTCAAATCTTTTATATTAAATAAAATTGTAACACCCTTTCCCCCTTCTCTGTGTTTGTAAACCCTGTTTATGCAGGACAAAAAATGAACAAGCATACGGGGCATGAAAGGGAGGGAGAAAACCGCAGATTTTCTTCAAGGCCACATCGACACGAGGCCAAAAGGGCCAGAGTTGACGGGCGCTGGGACTGGGAGCCGAATGTCTTGCTTAAGGGTCTGCTTAAGGAAGACCCAGGTTTGTGTTTGGGCTCTAGGACGTGGGTTCCCCGGTGCTCCGAGTCATGTTGGGCACCAGGTCTGCAGCCCTGGGAGCCGGGGTCACTCTGAAGCATTCAGATTCCCTCGGGGCGGAGAATGTGTGGGGAGATCTGGTGAAAGTGGGCGGAATGCGTGCTAATAGTTGTAGATGTTCACATTGAGTTCTATGCCATCTTACCTATAAAAAAAATAAAATAAAATAAAATAAAATAAATAAGATTCAGAATCTCTTGGTGGCAGGCTCGAGGAGGAGAGTTTGTGTCTTCTCCTATCACTTTGGGAAAAGCGCTTTCACCCGTGCCCGGCTAGCTCAGTCGGTAGAGCATGAGACTCTTAATCTCAGGGTCGTGGGTTCGAGCCCCACGTTGGGCGCAGTTGCTTTTTTTTTTTTTTTTTTAAGCAGAACTTGATTTCTTCACACTCAGAATTTCCTGAACAAGGTCCCACCGGCTGCCATCAAACAAGAAGAATTCAAGAGCCCAACAAATATAGCATGAATTAAAGAATCCCTATAAACAGCTCGTTTACCCAGGCCCCCTTGAGCTGGGGCCTGCCCTTTAACTCTGGTAGAGTTTAGCATCATCGCCCCCTGGCGAGGATGCATTTCTCTTACCTATTAGAGTTTTTGTTTTGATGCTAGAGATATCTTGGCTTTTGATAGGGCACGGGTTCTGGATAAACTCTTGGGATGATTCTGAAACACGCCCCGCTTTTTCTCTCCCACTAAGAAAGCTTTTGGATGCAGGGAAAAGAGTGCAGAGATGAGTGGTGACATACATACACCCAAGGAGGTGTGAGCCATTCTCTAAGTCATACAGTGTTATAAGCCAACGTTACCGCTATAAAAAATTTAAAAGCATAAAGTGAAAAATCCCTATAGCCCACTCATTTAGTTCCTGCCTCTTCTAAAAAGTAAAAAATGCAAAACATAAAGTAAACCCCCAGACCCCCACTGTTATTAATTTTGTGTATATTCTTCTAGGATTTCTGTACACATATACAAGTCAATTACAAATGTATGCTTTTCTTGTTCCCCCTTTAAAGAAAAAATGATGCCCTGGTCTTCTATAACCACAGATGTTTTTCATATATTCCATTGTATGGATATCCCAAATTTATTTCCTCAACTTTCTACTGGTGGTGGTTAGGGTGTCTAAGCTATTGAAACATCCCCAATAACATTCTGGGCAGTTGTTTGGCTCAATTGCAGGGCATCTAAAGATAAAAACCCTTAGGAGTGCTGGGTTAAAGGAAATGCGCTTTTGTAATTTTGGCAGAATGTCAGACTGCAGCCCACAAAAATGGTATCAATTTATTTTTTCATAAGCAATGTCTGAGAATGTCTGTTTCTTTTTTTTCACATGACAAGCTTTTTTTGACCTTATAATTATACTGATACTGTGTTTGTGTCTTTTATTGAGGCAACATTGTTTGAAAATATCTGGTTCTTCATACTTGCACCAG